TGAAATGTCAGTCACGAAATCAATCACGACTTGTAGGGCTTGCATGTTCGGACGACGATGGTATTCAGTAATAATCAATTGAGAGAGTTTCTGTTGCGCGAGGTTTAGCTCGCAGAGACAACTTGGCGGCTGCAGTATAAGCAACTTAAGGAGGCCTCGGATTCAATAGTGCTGCAAAATGACATGAAACTGGCCGACTAACTGTCAAGTAGTTGGTATGGTGGTCCCTGCGAAGTAATTCACTAGCGAGCAACAGTGCCAGCTTCACGACAATCCCCTGAAATATTCCTGGCCTCAGATACTGGGCTCTAGTTTCATTTCCGCAATGTTCCGATGACAGTTGCTTTCTACCGATGCGCGATACCATCCATATGAGCTGTTCGTGACTGCTGGGATTGACCACCGAGTCGAGCCCAACTTCGGGTTCATATGCCGCAGGGGCGGGGCAAGTTGAGTTTTAGCGTTGGATCTTCGCTTTCATTCAAGCAAATTGTCGTCTCTCTTCTTTCCGTTCTATGTTGTGGCATCAAATGCTCTATCACTTGGGATGCTCCGCGCTAATGGCGGCCTTGCGACTGCTTTCCTGTGCCGTGAGCTGCTGTGACATGCTCTTGACGAGCTTCGGCTCCGCCCCGCCACTCAGGAGCAGTACCGTTACCCAGAACCAGTCATGAGTGGCAAAAGTCGAGACATGCTATTGAATGGCAAGCCATCGTCTCAGGCAAAAATTTACTTGTCTTGCGAACCGGGCGAGCCAGACAATTCTCCTTCATGAACGTTAGAAAAATTAAGAGCCATCAGACTCTTCATACCCTTGCAGGCGGTCCCACAGGTTCTCGGCGTCATGTGATGAAAATTACAACGCTTTCCCTGATTGACGAGGCTATTCTGCAGGGGATATCTTGTCGGCCTGGAAAACAGGCTCGACGGCTCTTTGCTTAGAGGTCAGCCTACGCATCGACCCCGCCGCAATCTTGGATCTCGCATCCGGTGATTCCAACTGCTGTTGGAAAGCTACCCTTTGGGTCATAAGAGAGATGGCATGAGTAATAAGATCATCTCATCACAAGAACTCTTGGTTCCACTGGAACAGTGATCGCGGCAATCAGAAGGTTAGGAACGTCTCTGGTTCCAGCTACAGCCCTCGAAGCTCGAAGTGGTGCGAATCACTGAGTCGAAGCGGCGAAGCCCTCTGTGTAATCACGCGCTCGACGACTCTTGCTTGGGCGCGGATCTGAACATGGGTGGACGGTCCATCATCTCGACAGCAAACATTGAACACGAACAAAGTGCTTCTAGAGCCAAACGACAATCCGGTTTCGAACGAATTGGCTCAAATCCGAGGACGATTTCCGCTTCGAAATCTCTTACAGCTGGGAAAGACACAGTACGCTTATATGCCACCCGTGGTATGCACTTACCACCTTCAGCTGAGTGGGAACCAATAATCCGGGCCGACCGCAGGAGCTCCAATCATTGTGGATTATAGCCCATAGAGGTGGCATTACGAACAGGAAAGGAGCTGTGTCACTTTGGAGCATGCCTGATTACCCAAGGCAAGCGTCGGTGAGGGGTGCGGTGCGACGCCAATGATCTCCCCTTTCTTTCCCTCTCCGTCAAGCTTTTGGCAGGATCTCGAACGATATCCTTCCTAGCAACTGACTGAATCTGTGAACGTAGTCTAGGCTGCTTCTATAGCGACACTCATTCACAATATTCCACGTGTCGTAAGGATCTCCGCGGTGTTCAATGGCCCAAAGACCAGAGTATCGCATCTGGGAGATCTAGGATGCCAGCCACGTACGCGCCTGTCCAACTGCCCTGAGCTCTCCACCAAGTTCCCATACGCGCCCCTGTTGCTACCCAACGGACGAAAGAGACCGTTTGGGCGTTGGCAGTCGCGCGCGGACTTTGGAGCCCATGAGTCGGCATGGTAAGAGAGGGTTTCCGCCATCGAGTTAGCCCCGGTCTTGCCGAATCCCTTCCAAGCTCTCATTCGGGTAGGAATGTTGTTTTCTCGCCCAAGATGCAGCAGCCAGCAGATACTTGCTCATGCACCAGTCCAGTCAAAACTTTCTAGGCTTTCACTCGGAACTTCGTTTGCGGCCTTCGGCCACACCTGGGTCTCTAAATGATCAGAGAACCCGATCAGTCTACGGACGTCCTTTGCGCTCGCTCTGTGTGGATCGTTAGCGACAGGCTCCTCGGCTCCTTTAGGCTTGGCTGAAGCGGGGAGACCGGCTGCCAGGGAGGTAAGATTCGAAAAGAGCATGACATGGCTTTCCACACAGCTCTGGCGCGCAATCCTGACAGAAGTACATAGAAGTCCCGACTCATTGTCCAAGATGGCTGCATCTTCCTCCCCCCCTTTTCCCGGGTTGATGGTGAAGGCTTTCGCCCTCAGATGTGAGCCTGTCCCTCTGGAAATACACCATGTAGCCTAAGAAGCCAATTTGTGACAGCCCAGAGAGTATAGCAGTGTCATGTCTGCCAGCTCAGTGCATTGGGCTTCGCCTTGGCCGTTGTCGCCGAACCTATTCTTGAGGAACCCCGCAGCCAGCTCACCATATCTAGAAGTGTTGCTTTGGGCGTTCTGATGCATCCCGTGCACCAACGAGGTCAGGTCGCCAACAGGCGGGAGCATGAACGACGACCTCATTCAGTCTTACCGGGTCGTCGATGGATAGCCCATACAAGTCAGGCAACGAGCATTCATATAGCACACGGGAGTCACATGCGCTTATCAGAGCCTGCCTCTTCATCGGGCTCATCAGATTTTGCGCGAGTTGTCTTACTCGCGGGCTCCGCTGTCGTTGACGTTTCGTTGTGACACCGACTGAGACTTCAACTGGAGACGGGGGCGGACTTTGGCCTTCTCGTCATTTCTGTTCGATACGTCGCCTGATCGGAGATAGTGCGAAAGCGAGAAGCAAGCGTGTATAACAAGCTGGTTTTTAGGGCTGGGTCTGGCCATCCATTATGTGGCAGAAAGCAAGGGGCGAGAAATTGGGGTGCTGAATTTTGCGAGGCGCCCCGAAGATTCTGCGCAGGTGCGGCGGCAACAGTGTACCCCAGCTCCAGTGCGGTGCCTCGTAGGCTGTTGCTAACGATCTCTTTGATTGTTCTGCCAATGGATCCAGTCGTTCGAGTCACTACAGACTGCCCAGGTTGCTGTGTGGCCAGATGTAGACTGCCAGGGGGAGATCTAGGTCATCGTGACATTACGCCCAGCGCATGCATGCAAATGCAGAGAGGTTTCAGTCGCTAGATACTGAGTAATGGCTACTTCACCGTGTTTCCAGTCAGCGATAAGATCGATTTGCAGTACACAACGTTGTCAACTTCTCAAAATGACTGGCATCGGAGACGCCATGCGCCATTGGGTAACCCATCCAAAGACAGCTGAGAATGACGAAGATCAATAGAGCAGTCCGCCTCCCTACGAGCTACTTTTACGGCCACCCTGACTGCAGGTCTTAGCTAGAGCCAATCATGAACGTGCATTCGAGACAGGCGAAGAGTGGTTCATATTGAAGGTGCCCCGGAGCAGCCGGAATAAAGACACGGTAGGAAGTTGTCCACATCAAAACACCTTGCCCGGCCTCATTGCATGCATGCAGTTTCATTGGTCCGATTCCTCATGGTATTATGGGCACAGCTAGGTCATTCTGGTCAAACACTCCAAATCCTAGCTCATAGAAGTCGCCGGTTAGGCACGTCGCCTTCACGAACCGCAGCGAGATATGGTCAAAATGGTGGCTGAGGGGACCATGAGTGGTGATACCACGAAACCAGTCACATCATTCTCTCCGGTCTGGCTATCCAGTCATTCACATGGCCACCATCCACCAGTAACCACGAACGTCGGCCCCAGGAGGCGTTGGGCTCCAATAAACTTCGCCTTCAACTCTGAATTGCTTAAAATGCGAACCACCATGCCCGTGGTGGGGGAAGCCGCGCTCTTGATCTATCCAGACTTCATGATAGCTGAAAGTACCGAATTCTGAAATCTCATTCGACACTGCGTTGTGCTGTTTTGGAAAACGCCTGTGGTTTCGAGACCAGCGAGTCCGCAGCTTTTGCCAGGCCAGCGATGCCCTTCCTTTGACATGCAACCAACCGGGACAGGATGAGCGTGCTACATTGCGATATTCGACCGACTCTACCCTTTCGCTGAGTGAGTTATGGCGAAGGACGACGACCTGCTTGTATTAGAGAAATTTCAAGTGATGAAGGATAGGCCTCTGAACGTTACCTTGGTTGTGTTCACGAATAGAATCGAGTCTGGGTTTTCCTTGCAGCTTTTGCTGTCATGCTCAAGCCAGCGAAATAGACTGAGAATATTGTCGTCCATGAGTATCAGCAAGGGCCTTCTCATATGAGATTCAGGAGTCTTCCCGTTGACGGAGGGAAGCGATGGCTCAGCTCCCAGTATCGAAGCGGGTAAAGGGCCTCATAAGAATGAGCAACTGATCGCCACAACAGCCTAGCTGTCCGCAAACAGTACTCTGGTGTCCTGTGAATTGAGTTTACCCATGGATGGGCTCGCCTCGGCCTCGTGCGAGTCGTGACGAGAAATCGATGTTGACCGCCCTAGCGTGGGGACAGTCACACTGAACTGTTGCTCCACAGCCATCTGAGGGTAATGATGTACGATTTGCAATCCAGTAGAAACTCCCGACAGTCGATCGCAGCTCTACTCTGAAGCTTGAGACGCAAGACCGACGTCAGAAGCGATGCACAAAGCATTTTGTCAAAAGGAAAGCCCCCTATCTTACAGCCACGATATGTACAGAGTTTCCGGATCACAACGATGCGTCCTGCTGGCTTTGGGTATGGGCCTGTTGCACCCAAGTGCACGCAAAGCCTTCCAAAGCGAGATCGACTCCTTGTCCACGAAGCCTCCCCATCGCCGCCGGTTGCAACTCAAAATTCCAGTGGACACGGTCTAGCATTGCTATTCTGTTCAGTCAAATCACACCTGCGGCGAGAGACTGTTCTTACCGATTGATCATACTCTCCCATACAACCTCAGTGGGTCGTTTGCAATTGCCACACTTTTGATCGCCGGCGTATTCGAAGAACGTAACGCAAGGTGGACATCGTCGATGGGTTCTAGTGTAAAGTGGACACCACTTTGACACAATCCACCGGACGTGACCGCAGTGGAATTCGCGCTGAGTGTAGTTGCACATCCCCGTCGTGTTCAGCTGAATTGGAATCGATGGCTGCTAAATTGCTGTGAAGGGAGCGTATGATGCACATATGTAATATAGCATACGCGAGGGTGGGGTTACCCTCGGGCACGTTCGATTGTCTGCAGGTTCGTCTTTCCAATGATTGGCTTTCAGCTTGTATCGTGGTCTGGGGTTTTGCAAGGAGCCGAAGTATCGTGCGGTCAAAGTGACGGACGATCGCGCCCTAATGATACGAACGTGCATGCCTCCCACGGGTATAGATCGCCTTCGTTGAATGACGTTTGCTCGACATGCCACAGCCTAGATGTAGAGAGGTGACGGCGCTATGAAGAGCCGCTTCCGATCGAGCTCTTGTACGCGTCGGGCTATCTACATACGAGAGAGTCGAATTGATGTCTACGCTATAGTAAGCGAGGGCGCAGGGCCAAATCACATCGCAGCAAGCCTGCCAGCGCTCTGCGCGGCTCGAGAGGATGATGGTGGGCCGACAATAACGAACCCCACGGAACGCCTGGCAGGGTCGCCCAGGTGAGAAAAAGGAAAAGACCGAAATGCCTATTCAAGCAACAGACATACACTCTGGATGGCCCTGTGCGACTGCGTCGAATTACAGGATAGAAGTCGTTGCCTATGGCAGTCCAACAACGCATCTGACCTGCATACTAGTGTTGAAGTGATGCATACTCTGGACCCGACGGAGCCGGCATCGATCTGAACGGCGGCCCCTTCTGGCCTCCGTCGCACTATAGAAACAGAGAGGAAAGTACACCAGGATGCTGTTCACGCTATCGGCAGGCCAAGAGCAGGGTCGCGGACATCTTCCCCTGTTGGTCCAACGGCCGTAAAGGCTCCCTCCCCCCGGGATTACTGTCTGGTGCACTCCATACAAACAGGGGCGCCAAAAGCGCATCACGTTTGCATTTATGGATTAATCGTACCACCGTTGGCCCCTTTTTCGGAAGTCACAGCAGTGTACCTCACGTCCGCGGGACTCCGCCACCGAGCTTGGCCCTGGCGCATTACCACAGGCACTACAAGGTCGGTATTCCATGCAGTATGGACGGGTGCGTTCGGACCTAGCTATGCTGGGCTCGTGGAGTCGGAGTCGGGGGTCATATGATGTACGGGACAATTGCAATGCTCCGTCAATTGCTGTAGTTTGTCGCAATTCAACTAGCCGTCTTGCGATTGCTGTGCTTGATGGGAAAGGCTAGAACTTCATGAAGAGTTGGTAGACTCGACGCACATGTTTTCTCTATTGGAGGCATTACTGTATTTTCTCAAGTACGCCGCGGACAGAAAAAAGGGCGTCCTCGCAGCCAGACCATCTTTTACTCAAGAGCGATAACACTCACGTGACACATGCATTCCGCTCGGGTCCCCGGCGGGCCTCCAACAGATGGCCCCCTACGGTGATTGAGACATGACTGAGTGAGTTGACCAATCGCCGGGGTTGGGAGCTGCGAATGCGGGGCCGGGCTCGTGCCGTGCGATGGATGTGGGGCCTGGAAAAAGCCTTTGACAATCGAGGAGTCGAGAGACTTGGGACAACGCGCCGGTACAACAATCTCGTCGATCTCACCTGCGAGAGCCGCCTGGGACGCCCGATTTCAGTTTGTGGCCAGTGGATGTGCCGATGTCAGCTAAAAGATCTTTCGCCCTGGTAAGTGAATGATTTCCCATAGCTCCTGGAAGGTAGACGCAGGTGCTGGGTGCACGCAGCCGGGACACTAGTGGCGGGCGTTGGTAAGAGTACCTGCAAGCCGAGAGTTTCGTGGCCCGCCAAAGATTGCCGACTTCCATGTCTCGATTGAAGTCCACGATGTACTCAGTAGATTGGCTGGAGCGGAGATCCAGCGTCAGCAGATGCACGCCGTTACATCACGCTTTACTCTTTTGGCCGAACTCCCCAAAAATTGCGAGTTCATCGAAACCGGTAAGCGTGAAGCAAGGGCGTGCATATCATGATACCAGGGTTCCGAGCTCGACGTGTACAATCAGGGCCAAGACTCGGAGCTGGCCTGCTTGGCTTTGTCCGCACAACATTGGCTTGAATGGTAAGTAGTATCTACAGGGGTTGGGCACATGCTGGGGTGGGTGAAGAGACGATGTAGCTGCAGCAGATGCACACCCTACGGTGACGCCTTACTCTTTTGGCCGAACTCGAAGAAAATTGCGAGTTCGGCGGAAACGGTTAGCGTAAGGCATGGGTGCACATCACCATACCAGGGTCGACAACGCGGCGCATAGTATCGCTGAGCGCAGAGGGTGTCGAAGACAGAATCCAAGCTAGCCGGTTTAGAACTATGCGCACACGCCACGTGTAAGTATTGTGAAGGGTGGGGTGGACATGGGAGGATAAGAGTGGATAAGAAGCTGCAGCAGATGAACACCCCACGGCGACGCTTTACCTATTTGGCCGAACTCGCAAAAAGTTGGGAGTTCGGTGCACGTGTAGAGTAGGTGGGCGTGAGGCCCATCAAATCTGAACAGGGGATCAGGGACCCAGTGGGGTGATCAACTGCGCTAGCCTGTTTCGCCGAACTCGCAAACTTTTGCGAGTTCGCTCAACTTGGTAAGCGTGAACTTGGCTGGTGCCACTGAGCTCGCTCCTGAAGCAGGCGCCCGCGTCTCTTCGTCTCTTGTCAACTCGTCTTTCCACACAATCGATCCGCATCCTGACAACGATTGAGCGGCGTCAGACCAGCATCGACGCAGTACGCCAGCCTGACCGCAAAAACCGAGCCTGCTAGCCATTGACAGCTCGCCGCGCCGACGCCCTGGTTCAAGAGACATGCCCTACGCCCGCGGACGATGCGGGTCTCTCTTCCGCGGTCCCAAGAGCTCCCTCCGCCAAACCCGACTCCGCCCTCCGACAATCACAACCCGACGCTCCTCGAAGATAGACCCGAGTTGAATGCATCCCCTGCCTTGTCTGCCTTGAGACAAGAAAGTAAAAAATGGCAAGACTCTCCCAAGGAATTCTTCTCAGCTGTACCAGATAGTGTAACCAAGTACGACCGCAAGAGCCCGGTGGACTTCATACGAGGGACGATCGCGTTCAGGATTAGAGCTGGAGAGTTCTTTCGGTGTCGAAAGAGATGGGGACACCGCGGACGAAGAGCCTTTAGGGCTCACGTGGCCCGTTGCAAAACAGCGTTATCCTCGATTGACCACGCCAGGTGGCTGGAGTTCGGGAGGACTACGGACATGATTCTTCGAAGACATGCCGCCGGTACCATCGTGGCGAGCTGCCTGGTAATTACAGATGCAACGTCAGCTCTCTCATTCTCACGGGCAAGGACAATTCATTGACTATGAATAGTTTTCGCTCTGTCCCTCAAGCGGAAGACCATCCCAAGCACATGGAGTTTTTCGAACAGCTTGATGCGCCAGAAGCCAAACAATATGCGGAAGAATTTGCAGCCCTTGAAAAAGTGTTGAGGGACTACATCATTAAAGACTATAGCTGTCTAAGAGATATTCGCCCGCACCGCCCTCGGGGCGCCCATCGCAACCATTCACGGAACACTTTCCTCCCTGATGAGCCACATCAAGTTGTCTTCGACAGCTTGGCCAAAGCCCTTCCGCCCCAGAATACAGATCGAAGCGATCCCGTCGACGGGCAGTCGGCCTTGGTCGATCAACGGCAACCTCCTTGTGCGATAGCCCAGTCATATGAGCATGCCAGGATGCTTTACAGCACTCCAATATCTCAACAATCGCCAACCCAACAGTCACAACAATATCTATCGTCCTCCGTTCACAACCCCACCACTCCTCACTTATACAGTCAAAACACAGCCGAAATGTCATCGCATCCGGCATGCATGGTGCAGCTCTGGCCCTCGACTAACACGATCCCGACGGCTCCAGAAAATATCGTCAATTTGCCTCAACAGGACTTCGCCACACAAGCCGTGACGAGCACTCCGCTTCCTGCGTACGATATCTGCCTGGCGGGTTCCCAGCACTGCTCGATGGGCTCCTTGCCTACACATCCGCACAGGATGCAGACTCCTCTGGCGGAACAGATCACCGCGAGTCCTTACATGGCTGGGTACGAACAATACCAGTCTCAGGCATCGTTGTCGACGTTCGGCAGACCTGTCCACGGTCCCTCCCACCTCAGGATGAATGTTCAAGGGCAGTTTGTTGCAGAGGTCCCGTGGGAATGCGTTGAGAATCAAGATTTTCAAGGTAGCTATCATCCACATGCCATAACTCCAAACACGACCATAACGGACCTAAGCCGGCTCCGTCCCCAACTCCAGGGTCCAGGATTCGGCACCGGCAGCGCACTGTCTAACGTGAACGAAAGTGCCATGATGAACTGCACAGTGGCATTCGCGGAGCCCGAGACATATTAAGTCAACATACCCACTTCCTGGCACCCCCCTGTTTCTGGCACCACAAAAACGATGGGATCACAACCCAACCTCCTCATTACTATTAACTATTGATCCTCAACCACACCCACTACAATACAGCTGCCAGCCTCACTAGGGCATTCAGAGTCGCTGGATTCAGCCGTGATAACCTCCTTTTCACCCGCTTCGATTTGAGCCCGATGGATATCCCTGATGTTCGCGAACTTCGTATTGGGATCG